TAGCAGAGTCATAGCGCCATCCAAAAATTTGGGTTTTATTTTGTTTTGTTTTGTTTCTTTTTTGCGGGAAAACAGACAAACAAAAAAATACACACATATATAGACAGACATATGGAATGGACAAAACAATAAAATCTGAGTGTGTGATTTTTTTACAATATAAAATTAATGTAATAAGTGCTGCTTATAAATTTTCGAATACAAGGAGAAACGGTGGTCTTAGGCTATGATTCATGTTAAATAACGATGACTTGTGACTCTGTACTTTAATTTTTTTTTTCATTTGTATCTTTACATAAGTCATATACTTTGTAAATAGAAGATGCACATTTTCAATTTATGTCTAATTTTTGTTTCTTTGATAAAGGGGTTGAAGCGAAATAGATATGAATGCAATATCCGTAAAACCGAAAGAACGAGTGCACTTATGGGCCCCGGTAAAATGTGAAAAAATAAACAATTAAATTAAGCAAAAATTTTCATCTCAAATAATTAATTGATATCTAAACCATATGATTCAACAAATTTTACCGCTGAAATCCATGAATATACAAAGAACAAAACTATACAATGTAGTAGGGGCCGGCCGCCATTTGTGGTTTTCTATAGTAAATCGAGAACGGTCATACATTTCAAAGCGTTTGTTAACTATGAGCCTAACCTTGTGCAAACTTGTGCGAATGACAAAAGATGCATAATACATTTAAAAAACTTGTGTGAACGTATGAAATTTGCACACGATTAGGCTGGTACTTAAAATATTAAAAATGTTTAAAAATAACAGTGTTTTTCCTATAGCAAGTGAGAGCTATTTACCTGTATGACCCATGGTGAACCATGTGTGGAATAAATTATTTAAAATACTGATAGTCACGTGAGTTCTACCCAGGTAAACATTCCTCAAATGTGCTCACTGTAAAACATAGGCATGCAGGTTTTGTATCAGTAAGTCAAAGTTGTGCCGCTTAGAGATATTTGTATGTATTTGTTTTTATGAACACCGAAGGGTAAAGAGAGTTTAGTGTCGTTTATAAAAGTGTCAAACATTTTTAACCTTCGTGCAAGACAATGAAACAGTTATTGAAAGCCAACTAAACACTCCTTTTTAATTTCAAATTCAATGAAACTGTTATTGTAATTTTTCAAATGCAAGAGTGCCAATTTCTTAGTTTTATCATTATAGCTACAGACAACTACATAACTTATTCAATATTTTTAAAAACAGGTTTGGCGCAAGAAGTAACATTCCGTATACGCGCCCGACTATGATCCACCATCAGATTGCACAAGTATCGATTTAAATATCTATTCCCTTGATTTACATAAACGAAACTAAAAGAAGGTTCGGTACGAATTTTCCGGATTTAGGGTATCCATGGACATTCAAAAATATTTAATTGTTTCAAATCCATGCTGATTTAAGTGATATTTAACATGCTTTTTAATCAGAAATATCCACTAGTATCAAACTATGACCAATAGAGAACGATTTAGTAATATATTCTAAAGAAAAATGGCACATAAAAAGGGCCCATTAAGTATTGCTTAAGTGCACTTGTCCTTTAATATCTTATTCATCCGGGTAAATCATTTAAGTTTAGTATTAAATGGTGGGGAAGAAAAGGCACAATAATGTTATGAAACATGGAAAGAATTAAAGTTTAATAAATATTTATTTTTTTAAGACAAAATGGGTATATTATGCATTTCGCGTATTTGACTTATGATCCCCATTTTCTCGGTCTATTTCATTTTCGGTTGGTGACATTTACAGAGCACTTCCATTATGATATATCTATCAATTAAAAAATTGCTACATTACTCGATTAATGCATCATTAACAAAGTGTTAAAATCAGTGTTTACGTATATTTACCTTATTTTTCTGTAACCCTACCGCGAGCACGGTAGCCTAGTGGTAGAGCGTTCGCTTCGTAATAGGGAGGCCCGGGTTCGATTCTCGTTCGCGGCGCCGCGTCAAACCTAAGACGTTAACATAGGTAGTGACTGCTCCTTCGGCATCAGAAGTGAAAGTCACAAGTCTTTCGAATATGACCTTAAAAACGTAGGTCCCGTGTCACGGTGGGCGCTGGAAAAGGATCCCCACTGCTCAATGGCCCTAAGTGCCAAGTATAGGTTTAAATTTGAAGCCCTTCACTGGCATACAGTGCTGTCTCCATATGAGTGAAAAACTCTCGAGAGGGACGTTAAACAATATACAATCAATCCTGTAACCCTAGTAGCGGTTATTGGAAAGGGGGTGTACATCAAAATATCGAAGAAAATTTATACGAAATTACATTCTCATTTCCCTTGTTTACAATTATTTAATTATTCCTTAATTTAAAGAAAAGACCTTTACTATTGCTTTTCTATTTCTGTTTATTCTAATTAATCATTTTTGACTCTATTTTATTACACAAGGGGTAATCGACAAATTTTCGAACTATTTCTATATCTGCAGAACTACAATTCAGATTAGAAAAAAATTTGGTACACACATAACCATACACAAGTTCTATAAATAGCATATGCTGAATAAAGCTTTGCTCCTTGTTTGTAACGTCACAATGTAAAAATGACGTCACTATGTAGGTCACTTGTGACGAAAAATGGTTTTTATGGGTCGTACTCGTTCAACAATCGACTTTAAAATTCATTTTAGAAATCCCTTTGCAGTAACGTATAATAATTTGTACACAGTATATTAAGATAAATGGCTTCCTATAAATTCAATCAATGATTGGATTGATCGTTTTACTGAATGAAGGAAGATTTCAAAAATGATACTTGCTATGTTGCCCAGTGAAAGCTAGTTTGAAAAGAGATGTGTTTATAATTAAGCAAGTTGCTATCAAATGCCCCCAATTTACAAATTGAAAAATATTTGAATATCTTAACAATAATATATTAAATACCTAAGATATCGTTTACTTTAGATTTTAAACATATTAGATATGATAAAAAGGAGGCCCCCATTCTCTTTCCATTACTTAAATAAACGTCTCTCCCGAGACAGAAGATTTGGGTTTTGGTGGTCGTCATTCTTATTTTTGGAAAGGATATTCTTATCCATCAATTCTGTTGCCGAGATTTGACAATTTCTGACAAATGAACTGTTCTAGTTATAAAAATTAACTAACATGGAAGAAATATAAAACTCAGAAAAAATTTTCAGATTTTGTAATAGAACGCTTCGGAGATGGTCACGTGACCGCCATTATTACGTGATTCGCGCATGAGCAGAACGGTAACAGATATGCATTAAAATCAGAGAGGACTAATTTAAAATATAATCAACACTGAAACCACATATTATTTCTTTTGTGGAAGTTATTCAATTAGTTCGCGAACTTTTTGATCACTCCTCGTATTTTCTGCATACTGTGAAGAAATTGTCATTATATTGATAATTATCTTTAAGATATGCTATATACATCAATAAAAAGTTCATATGGTACGTGTTTGGTAATTTGAGCCCATATTTTAAAAAGTTGCATTTGAAACTGCGTATTTCTGATACAGCTGTACATATTTATGTGATCAAGTGATCAATACACATTACTGCAGACAGATAAAGAAAATATGTCTGTTTTAGATGCAAAGTCAATGCAACAACTGCTCCAAAAGTTTGAACATTTAAGAATTATCCACTGAAGCTTATTAACCAAACAAATTTCAGCAAATATTAATTTTCAACAATTTTTATTTTCAGTTTTGCAAAAGATCTTTTTACACACAACAAATATTCTAAGTCTTATTATATAAATGAAAACTACATTGAATATATCTTTAATAATATTTATTTAACTGGGAATTTATATGAAAGGCATGCATGTGACATATATTTCACAGTCTGTAGTATGCAAGTATAGAGATCCCTAAAACATTAAGTCCATTCTAAGGTTAGTAATTGTTTCAAGTCTCATTTTTAAAAAAAATGGATTTAACATGTATTATACAATCTACATAATACATACTGCCTGTATAAACATTCTTCTTCTAGTAAATCTGATTACTTAAAAAACATTCTGATATTTCTAAGTTTGAAAAAAAAATCCTACAATTCGAGAAATAAATAAAAAACAGTACAAGGGATCGATTATTTAATTTCCGAGATTAGGGTGTAAAGTACGATTAATGCTATCCGCTTGACCATGATTAAAACATTTCATTAATTCATTACAAAAATAATTAATATTAATAAAATCATTTTCCTTCTACGCTGGCATCTCTTAACGATGACGGAACTAAGGAATAAAACTTTCTTTTAACCAAACAATGCAGACCTGATAAACGGAAAAAAAAAGATACAATTCAACACGATAGGATACACACATGATACGATGAGGTATATGCACGATAGGACTCGATAGAAGTATACAAAATACCGTTATGGGTACTGTACGTAACTTTTGATATTAAACCATTTCTTAAGGAAAAAAAATAATCATATCGTCTTCAAAAGGAATAATTCTTCATCTTCCTTCCTATTTCCCTATCTCCCTAACTAAAATTAAAAAATGCAAAAATATGGAGGATCTAATATAGAATTTAAAGAACATCATGATGATAGTATTGATAAATATTCAGAATATCAAACATTACAAAGAAAAAAGTTTTATTTATTTCTGGATTTAAAACCATTTGTTTTTTCACTTACAACTTTATTCATTTTTATATGTAAGGTAAGCAAACTTACTATTGCAGTGATTGAATATCATAACTGATTGATTTTTAAAGTTTACTTCTGTATGAGATTATTGGACTTTCCTCAAACGAAAATTTGAGGGAAAAAACGAAAAATGGGATATGAAATATAAAATCATTTGCATGTAAATAAAAAAAATGCTGAAAAACTCCATGTTATGTAAAATTAATGGTTGTGTATGATTGGATATCCAGTATTCTTCAATAGAGTTACTATGGAGCAATATTACGAAACTCAAAAGTACATCCGGATTGGAGGGTATATAAGAGATAAATTTCAAATTCTTTTAACATACCAGCACCATGCTGAGATTAGTTATTATTGCAGCACTGGTGACAGTTCTGTTTGCAAGTCCAGTGGAGAAGGATGGAAACGGGAAAATTGCTTTAGAGAGTCTTCAGGAACTGCTGGACGACGCTGACATCGACGAAACAAACCCCAGTAATAGAGGTTTTGAGGAAAACGAAATAGACTTCAAGGCAGACGATGGAGATGAAGGCGAAAGTAAGGAAGACAGTTCTACTGTAGAAAGTGGAGAAAGCTCTGAAGAAGAACCGGATGAAACCAAACCTTCAGAAAGAGGCTTCTCCGAGGGCGAGGAAAAAGCAGAGCGAGCTTTTGATAGCTCCCTGGCATCATCAATGTTCCAACTGGATGAAATGATAAGCTCAGCAAATCCAGGAATGAAGGTAAATTTATTAAAGATAATTAATTTGTTGTAACAGAAGAATAACATTTTCATTTTCAAGTTTTCCAAAAATATGAAGGCACTTTTTGGTAGAAAATGTTTAAAAAAGTGTTTTGATTAAGTTTTTTTATCTATCCAGACCTCAAAACGAAGCATGGAAGACATGGATATGCTAGATGGTGATGTTAAGTTGGACAAAGAATCTGCAGCCGAACTTGTAGAATTTTACAAAAGAAATCCTCAATTCCTAAGACTTAACAACAACGGATCGGAACCAGCTGTAAGTTGAAACTTACTGTAACTCACTTTTCTTTTTAAGAAATCTTTCCAAACTTCTCCATTTTTACAAGAAACATATACGCCATAGGAGGAAATACAGGCATGATAAAATGAAAAAAAATTATTGTCGGGAAAAAAAAACTCAGCCTGATAAGATAATTAATTAAAGTTTAAAACTGCTAATAATTGTTTTAAAAAAGATAATGTTATCGACACAAATTAGATCATTATTTTAATTCGATTTAAGATATATTTTTGTAAAACTATTTGCGCGTTTTCATTAATTATTATGATTTAATTGACTGCATTGTACATTGCGAAGAGAATGGAGATTATGCTTTAGAAATAAATATATATTTTTTTTAAATAATAATAATAGAATAGATTTCCTTATACGATTCAATGCTTTTAAGTCTCAGGGAGTAAGCTTTTTCAAGTGATTTTATTTTTTAAAATACTTTTAATTAACGATTTTAATGAAGTATCGATAATTTAAAGATAATTTAAACTTCTTTCCCCTTTTTGTTGCTTGGCTCAATAGACTTACTATGATTATAATCCAGTAAAGATTTTCTCATTCAATGTTTTGCAAAGATGAGGAGCGAGAATCGTGATGAGAAAATCTGAGTTAATTTTTTTGGTTCTTTAAATCTTAAACTTAAACATAATTAGTGGATTTTCCTTCGCCAGGTGCGCGGCACTTAAAGAAAAAAGTCACGTATGAGACATTAAAAATCGGAGTTCCGTTTCACCATAGCCATGATGAAAAAATAAACCTCAATGTTCAATGGCTCTGAATGCCAGGTCTAAATTTTAAGCTCATGACATTGATATAGTGACGTTCCTATATATTCGGGAAAAAAATCCGAATGGGACGAAAGGCAACACACAGTTGATTACTTATCTAGGAGCCAAGTAAAATATTACAAGTAAGTATGCTCCAAATTTTGAACCTTTGGCGATAGGTAAATGCCTTTTTTACTTAAAAAAATATTAATTGAAATCAAATTATCTGTAAATATACATGATATAATTTGGGTACGAAAGTTCGCTTGTATAAGTATAAGATCACCTGTATAAGCATAATTCCTATGGCATAAGAGTGCCTTACATGATCAAGTATTGACATTTTGAACCATATATTTTAAGGCATTTCTTAAGTAATAATTGATGAGAAACTTATGTTAGAGAAATCATATCGACAGAGCAATATGTTTTCTCTCAATTCTATATTAGTGTTCAACATATCTAGAGATTGACATCATCTAAAGGCATAGACACTACAAATACATATACGAGCTTCTTAGATGTGGTATCGTTTTTAAAATAATATTTTTCTTTGCTTACTTAAAAAGAAAGCATTCATTCTTTATTCACACATTAACCATCTCTAAAAAGTACACGAGTCAAACGTTCTCGCTCAATAATGTTATGACCCCCAAACCTCAAATTTAAACAAGCTCTGATGGGGAAAATAGTTTGGAAACTGAAATTTAGTCCTAAAAAAGGAATCAGACATTTTGAATGCTCAAAGATTTGATTACTCATTATTTATGAAAAATTTAATTATCTGATTACACATGAGATTAACCATACATTTTTCAAAAAATAACATTGCACATGTATATACTGTTAGCTTTTGCATTAGCATTATTCCAAGAATAATGCAAGCAATCTCTTTAAGACAAGATTATATTTAAAAAAAAAAACTACCCCAAAACAAGAAATCTGTTTGCAATAAATAAACACGTAAAATATTACATGTTTATTGCATTATTTTTAAGGACTTTATTTTTTCTCGTAGCCACCTGAGCCATTTGACAAACGGAAAGTGTACAATGTTCCAAAGTGGACTTTTCCAATCAGATATAGAATGCAAATTGCCTCTTCTTCACACAGTATGAAATTATATAATTTCTTAGTTTATTAATTGGCTTTCAATAGTTTTAAAACTGATTTATTTTGTTAACAACAATATTTATAAATTATATTCATAAATTATATAAAAGCATTAATTATGATGGATAAAATTATCGCTTATCATTGTGATAGAGAAATTCAATACCTGCTTGTTTTAAATTAATTTATTTCAAATATTTTTTGTCTATTATTTTGTGCAATGTCACTAAATAAGGCAATTTCTTAGATTGTTTTATATGATAACAGAAGATATGCTATGTGACATAAAATGGTAAAATTCTATTGCAGGAAATCTGATAAGACGGGCAGTGAACATCTGGCGAACGCAAACCTGTATTTCATTCGTCGAAAGATCATCAATCTCTGCACCAGCAATCAATTTTAAGGAAAACGAATCTGGGTATAAAAACGTTGACTAAACGCGTCTTTGAAAAATAAGACTAAAAAATCAATTTTTGTACCAAAAATATGACATGTGATATGTGTTTTCCTCAAAGTAAGCTTAATCAGCTATGTTTCTCGTTTTAAAAAGAGGATGTTTAATGAGTAAGAATCCTAACACAAAATTACATTTTTTGCAGATGTTGGTCTTATGTTGGCAAAAGACGTTCTGGTATTAACGACATAAACCTCCAAAATGGCTGTAAATACGTAAGCCAATTATTCCACACGTTATTTTTTTCTGTATTTATGTAATGCTATGTAAAAGAAAATACTATTTTTTCTCAATCTCACATTTAGTAAAGGGATGTGATTTTTTGTGAGTTTGTAAATTTTAGCAAAAAAATTTCCATTTTAGTTAGGAATAATCCTCCATGAGATCGGACATGCCCTGGGTTTGTGGCACGAGCAAAGCAGACAGGACAGAGATTACTTTGTCTCGATATTAACAAATAACATTAGAAGCGGAACTGAACACAACTTTTTGAAAAGACCCGGAGTAACCTACGGAACAAGATATGACTATGGATCAGTTATGCACTATTCTGACACGGTGAGGGAATGTTTTTCTAATATTTTTTTAAGAAACAGGAAAAATATCTGATATCAGATTGAGGTTGTACATTAGTCCGCATAAAGATAATACGCACATTTTTATTTTACAGGCTTTTGCGAAGTCAAGTGGCTTGAAGACAATCGTAGCCAAACAGAGAGATTATTCAAAAACAATGGGACAAAGAGCTGGTTTATCATTTAATGATATCCGAGCCATTAACTACCACTATTGTCAGAGTACGTTAGACTACTAAAGTTCTTTTTCTAATATGCTTTATTTTAATGCAATAAGTATTTTGATAGCCCGGTTACCCATCAACTGGCTAATTTCTTTATTTCTTTCCATAATCCTTTCAACGCTAGAACACCTTATCTTATCCTCCTTCAATGAGTAAAATGTCTGTAAAACAGTTTGTCGTGTGTTGCCACCTTTGTGACGTTTAATAGTTTGTTTGAAATTAACAATGACATATAATTTTTAGCAGACACAAAATATCAAGATGAGAAAAAAAATAATTTTGTAAAGGGGATAATCCAAATTTACAGTCATTACCACTTAGAGTTGACAGAAAAATCATGAAAATGGGTCTGAAAACGCTAAAACATAAATTTTAACAACAAACAAAAATGGGGTGGAAGGAGGTAAATAAACTTTGAAAAAAAGTCTGTCCTCCAAGGATTTAGATGGGAGAAAAGGCAGATTGACGCACCGCGTGGTCGGAATTTCATTTGTTAGATTTTGATTGGTCAATCTCTTTCTCTCTCTCCTAAGACATGAAACAAAATGACCATTATAAAATACAGCTATACAATATTTCAGACTTTCACATTCAAGGAGGACACTTATTGATTACAATAAAAAATTTTAAGTAAACTTAAATTTATTTATTATTTGTAAAAGTTTTTTTTTTCAAAAGCCAAAAAAGCATCGTGTATTATCAAAAGATTAGAAATTAGTACTGCTATTTTCAAGCAAACTGACTATTAGTCCAACTGATTTTACGTGATCCTTTGTCATAACTGTGGTCATGTTTTCTTGCGGGCATAAAACTTCGGTACTTCGTGAAAGAAATTTGGAAAAAGAAAGCAAGTACATTTTTCTGCAAAAAATTTTCTTCCAGGAGTTATGTATTAAATGATTTATTCAATATTGAAGGTAGATGCTCAGGAGGATTGACATGGTCGAGATGTAGAAACGGCGGTTATAGAAATCCTAGAAATTGTGGACGTTGCAAATGCCCGGAAGGATGGATTGGACAATATTGCCAGTATCCCAAGAACCCATGTAAGAAAGATTTCGGATTTTTTGACAATTTTAATAAAACCATTAATGATGAAACAAATAATGCCTAAATAATTTTCAACATTGAGTCACAAAGGATGTAAAGGTGACTTCTCCTAGCTAATTTAAACATTTTTAGACAAAAAGACCAGAGAGTTATTTTTTCTAAAGAATATCTTTGTCGAAAAAATAAAACTCGACCATTTATCATTCTTAAGGTGTCTTTTAAATATCGCTCTCAATCATCAACTGAAATAAAATCAAAATAACAGAATGTCGTATCACAATTCTTCATGAAATATATAAATTTAATTAAAACATATCTATCACAAATTAATGGGTTTAATAATTCTTAAATACTTTCATAACTTCAGCAACCTCTGCATGTGGATCTAAGTATCGAAATGCCGCCTCAACTTACAGATATCTAAACACACCTGGGTATTTCAGTCCGGGAAGATATCCAAATAATGCCGATTGTACCTGGAGAATTCTAGTAAGTAGTCTTATCTTATAATAGTTATTACTTTATTTAGTATTGCAGATTTTGTTTTAAGGGGATTGTGCTACATGTACGAGGGTTGTTAGAAAAGTTCGCGGACACATTGAATTACGGAAAATCTGTTATGTACTGTGAAGTATGACCTATGTCTGAATGAATTCCTACATTTTATTTATTGGTATGTAAAAAATCAGGTCCATATTTTAAAATCTTGAAATTTTACAACTATTTTTACTATGGGGTCATGGGATTCACGGAGCAATCATTTGACGTAAGCGACGTGACAACCAGATTTCAAGCCGTTAAGCTTTGTCGCAGTTATATTTATAACTCTTTCATTTCTTAGATTTTTCGTATCTTTTTTCTACTTTAAAATTGAATATCTATATCAAGACATGATACTTTTCTACTATAATGTCTTTCGTACTGATTCGTATATTATTGAGATCTTAAAAAAATTAAAAAAAACGTCTATGCAGTTAATCAATCAGGTATGGAAACTATGCAAAACCATATAGGCGCAACGCAACGTTCATGCGATAAGGGGGTATTGAAGTATCGATGGAGTTAATCATTCAAAATGTCCCTCCTTCCATTCTTATGAAGCTATAACCATTTGAAAACTTGTTCTTTGTATGTGAAGGAAATTCCTGGCAGCATCTTGAACATTTTAATCTCTTTTTAGTTATTTTCCTATCTGCACACATAATTTTTACGTAGTGCAGTGCTCCATGACGCTCAATGACGTTCCGATTTTTGGCTGTCTTTTTACGCGTTGATCATTTATGAACGGCTACAAATCAGTCATATACCATCCAATTTAGTTCAAAATTTCTCCCAGTGACGTTTTCTGTATTCTTTAGTAGCAGGTAAAATATCATAAATCTCTTTGAGATACAATTGTGCAATTTTTAATTTTAATAAATAGTCTTTGTGATGTAAACGTGCCAAAATGTAGCATGCTCCATGAAGCAAGTTTTATCAAAATAAAAATGCTGTATATTTGTCAATAATCACGAAAGAGCACCAAATTCTTGTATATTTATTGGAAAAAAGGTAAAGATTTTATCTTAAAAGTTTGACCGGTTTTGTGGAAATAGCGCGCTCACAATAGAACTTGTCCGCGAACTTTTCTAACACCCCTCGTATGTATATAGCTTATTTAAAATTTCATATGAAAGTCATCCTTAGAAAATTTAGAAATACAGACGAAAGCCAACATTAAAGAATTTCTTTAAACGCTGAAATGTAATGTAGTAATTTTAGATCATTGATTTTATTTTCCATACGGAATTGATATTGATTGTTTTAAGAGCTTACCGAGAGGGGGGGTAATGTTTGACCTTTCATCTTTAGGCTCCTTCAGGAAAACGTGTTCGACTGGAATTCGTTGGGACTTTTAATTTAAGGTGCAACACGAGGTGCTTAGATTATGCAGAGGTTCGTTTCAGCAGTGTGTCAAACACAGGGCCGAGGTATATACATTTGAAATGCATACTTACATGTACTTAGTTTAATGATCCAATTTTCATGTCGATCATGTCGGAAAAAATCTCTAATAATACAATAACATGTTCTTTATCTCCTTCCTTTTATCCATATATGAAATTTTGATCATGAAAATTATAAAGTTTATGAAATCAAATGAATTTTAGCTCACCTGAGCTTATCACCCATTGTCCGTCGTCCGTCTGTCCGTCCGTCCGTCCGTCTGTCTGACCGTCCGTTCGTCTGTTAACTTTTCACATTTTCAACTTCTTCTCAAGAACCTCTTGGCCAATTTTAAGCAAACTTGGTACAAAGCATCCTTGAGTGAAGAGGAATTCAAATTGTTAAAATAAAGGTCAGATCCCCTTCCAAGGGGAAATAATCAAGAAAATACAAAAATAGGGTGGGGTCATTAAAAAATCTTCTTCTCAAGAATCACTAGGCCAGAATAATTGAAACTTATGTGGAAGCATCATGAGGTAGTGTAGATTCTAAATTGTAAAAATCATGACCCCTGGGGGTAGGGCGGGGCCACAATAGGAAATCCAAGTTTTACATAGAAATATATAGGAAAAATCTTTAAAAAACTTCTTCTCAAGAACCACTTCGCCAGAAGAACTGAAACTTATGTGGAAACATCCTGGGGTAGTGTAGATTCTAAATTGTAAAAATCATGACCCCTCGAGTAGGGCGGGGCCACAATAGAGAATCTAAATTTTACATAGAAATGTATAGGAAAAATCTTTAAAATTCTTCTTCTCAAGAACCAGTGGGCCAGGAAAGCTGACACTTATGTGAAAATATCCTGGGGTAGCTTATATCCTAAATTGTAAAAATCATGACCCCCGGGGGTAGGGCGGGGCCACAATAGGGAATCCAAGTTTAACATAGGAATATATAGGAAAAATCTTTTAAAAACTTCTTCTCAAGAACCAGTAAGCCAGGAAAGCTGAAACTTATATGGAAACATCCTGGGGTAGTGTAGATATTTAATTGTTAAAATCATGATCCCCGGGGGCAGTGTGGTGCCACAATGGGAAATCCAAATTTTACATAGAAATATATAGAACAAATCTTTAAAAATCTTCTTCTCAAGAACCACTGGGCCAGGAAAGCTTAAACTTAAATGGGAGCATCCTGGGGTTGTGTAGATTCTAAATTGTTACCCCCGGGGTATGGCGGGGCCACAATAGGGAATCCAAGTTTTACATAGAAATACATAGAAAAAAATCTTTAAAAATCTTCTTCTCAAGAACCACTGGGCCAGGAAAGCTGAAACTTATGTGGAAGCATCCTTAGTTAGTGTAGATTCTAAATTGTTAAAATCATGACCCCGGGGGGTAGGGAGGGACCACATTAGGGAGTCATAGTTTTATATAGAAATATATTGGAAAAATCTTCTTCTCAAGCACCAGTGGGCCAGGAAAGCGAAACTCAGAAGGAAGCATCATTGGGTAGTGTAGATTCTAAATTATTAAAATAAAGATGGGGGTTGGGATGGGTTAGGGGGGCCACAATAGATGTAAGTAGAGGGGAAATCTGGTAAAGAACTGCATCACCAAAGTTACTAAGGTGAGCGATGTGGCCCATGAGCCTCTTGTTTAGTTTTTAATCACGATTAAAAGCTGCTTTTACTATAAACTGTTTACATTATCAGTTTTTAATATATTTTTACCCCTAATTATAAATAAGAAATACGATTTATTTTCAGGTATTGCTGTTACCGAAGACCAACAAGAGTATTTTACTCCCGTGGCCGAGTAATGCTGCTCCTATTCAGGGCAGATGCCAATTACGTAGCAAAGGGTTTCCGGGCAAGATACAGATATATCTAAAAAAAAATGTAAGCCTAGGATTCTTTTTTTTTAATCAAATTTAAAGTTTTTTAAACAGAAATAATGTAATATCTTTTACTTCGTTTTTAAAGCTTTCAAGATATTTTGTCAAAACATTTAGTTATATGGGGAACTGTTTAATGCTTTTATTACCGAGTATACAGTGTTCCTCTAAATAGTAGTAAGCACATTTGAGAAACTGTATTAAGGTATGTCACTCGTCAGCTTTTTAGAAAAGTTCACGCAGAACCTCTTACTTCAAAACTACTTATTTAAAAAACTCAATTTTTATAACATATTTAATTTCAACAATGTTAATGTTCAACATTCAACGAAAAAACTGCTCAAAAAGCTACAAAGAAGCAAGAATTATGAGGGACTATTTCTTGTTGTGGAAGGATATTTAGCAGATAATTCTGCAAATCTGCACATTTATAAAATTTACTATCTTGGAACTTGAGCCTCACAAACTTTTACTCGGAGAATATTTTCCGTTATGATATTGCTAGGAATATTTAATATAGGTCTTAATTTATATTTTTATAACACGTTTTAAACCTTCCTTCTACGAACTTTGCCAAAAAATGAAGATATGTCAAATAAGTCAAGATAAAATTTACACCATTTTTCGCCTGAAAATCACATATTTTGAAAATTATTTCAAATTTGATATCACTGACCCCAACTTTTTCTTTCATTATTTTAAAGTACACGATACTTGTGACTGATCAGCACTTAAGTCGTAAAAAGCTTGATTTAAGAAAATGCTTTATTGCCCATTTAGTTTTTAAATACCCCAAATATATCACCTTTTATTGCAAAAAGGTCACACAATAATTTACGCGCATTAATTTGCAAGATTTGTTCAATGATAAATATTATTCAAAATACTTTATGTACAATAAAATCATATTCATTGCCATTGTTGCATTTGATAAAATATGATAAAAGTTAAAGTAATTAACCACAAAGTTTAAATTTAAGTGCAAAAAGGTCAACTTCATTGTACCGTAGATCAGTAAGATGAACACTGACGCCCTATTTTCTCTGCGATTTTGAGTCACCCTATATGAGTACTTATCCAAAATATACTTCTCAAAAAATCCTTGATTTAACAAATTTCACGAGTGACATACCTTAAAATCAAATTGTTGAATTTCGTTTATAAAAGAGAGCCAGGCCTAAAATAATTATAAATTTCGTACGCCATAAAAAATTCTGTATTTTAATATATCTAAATATTTAAGCAAATAGATTTAATCATTTGCAATGAACTTGCCTTTCTGAAGAAAATAATTCATTTAATTCTGTATTTACAAATTAATATGAATATTTATATCTTTCTTTTTTTTCAGGATACTGAATTCGAAAGGAAACAAATGCTTTAATCCCCGCTCTCTCTCTCTCTCTCTCTCTCTCTCTCTCTCTCTCTCTCTCTCTCTCTCTCTCTCTCTCTCTGCTTTCTGCTTTAACATGTATGCAAAGTTACATACGCTTAGAAATAAAGTTTTTTATCAACTCCTATTTTGTTTATTTTATTTGTTTGTTTGTTTTATGATTGCTTTATCAATCAAATTCGGGTTACTTTTATTGTGAGGAACCGAACAAATTAAATTCATTAATCGATGGTTCTCTGGCCTTTTTTATCATAAACCTTTTAAGTTCTTATGACAATCGATTTTGTTTGCTTATGGTTTAATAATACAATAATTTAAAAAAAAAAAAGAAAAAGAAAACACACAGAAGTGTGCCAAAGCATTTTTCACAAACAATGAAAATGTCTCAATCAGATAGAGAATTCAAACCTTTCTCGAGATTGTGTAAAAAAAAAAATCCAAATTAACAATAATGTTAATACTTTTTTAGTTATCTGACAAATGATTATAGCAAAAAATGTTTATAATTTTAATTTTGAAAAAAAAAGAACACATAATTCTTTTTTTTCATTATTACTTTAAATCATATGTAAGGACATCGCAACGTACCTTACCTACTGATAGTTCTTCAAGCGTAAGATATTCCTAAATTAAGATTATAATGCCATCAGATGTTCGTGAACAAAAAATCAGCATGCATTACCAGGGGCTTTGAAAAGATATCAATTGATGAAAATTCTTGCTTACTTCAAAGAAAAAATATCATAAAATTAGTAAACGGGTGCTTGAGGACGACAGTCACATTCTATTTTACGCAAGAAGGCTACTCTGCGTAAGAATAATAATATTGGTGCTATTCCAACTACTACTATCGATACATCTCACGTTACTTGACTACACTCTGTCAACAGGGAATTGCCAGTTGTAGTATTGTAGGACTATAACCCTGGTCATCTAAAAACTGACTCAAGTCAAAAACAGACTTTGAATACTTTGATTGTCAAGGAAGTCAACTTAAAACATGCAAAATTAAAAAAAAATAATAATAAACCAGAGGTACTGTGAGCAATGAGCTGAGTATATGTAAATGATACCCCCACCTCCCATATGAATAAAATGACAGTGTCCATGTTTTGCCATGGGAAACCCAAAATATGTAACGATCAAAAAGTAACATAGGAGGTGCACAATGGCAATATGTAATAAAGATTCCCTGAAAGTCTCATTCAATTTAATTCAGTGGTATGAGAGGAGTTGCGAATAAGAGACGGGTACCCAAAAACCTTACAGACGGACTTGCAAACGGACGGACAGACGTACAGACATCCCGATTTCTATATACTCTCCTCCTGCTTTTCAAGCGGGGGATACAATGAATTTTATTCTGAAATGTGAAGCATATTCAAACATAATATCACTCATCAATACCGCTTTATCGAATGAATATAAACGTACAAACATTAACAAAATTAAAATGTTTTTATTTCGCTATGCTGTATCCGTCATTTTGATTAAAATCTACCACAGATGACGTGTTATATGTACATCAAGTAACTTGGGAATTGATCATGGCGTATAAAGAGAATTTGACTAGGACGGCATGTACAGAGATACATAAAATGGAGTTTAAAAGCAAATATCGTGAATATTATGTAAAATTCATATAAAGTTCAGTTAATTAAACAGGTATGCTATTTTATTTTCATCCATTATATTCTCTTCCGAAGACTGTCAGCTATATACTTATCCCGGTCGGCTTTTCCTCTGTCATTCGTGACAAAAATTATTCAACAGAACAACAATCAGCTGGATATTTCTTAACATAAGATTTACACAGATGGAAAGTTTGTCTTCTAAAATACTTGGAAAGTGCTGCTAGAACCCCGAGTTAAGCATGCTTTTACGAAAGATATCGATTTATATGTATAAAATTCAAAACATCGGGTAAGGTTAAGTGCGTATGTGTGGAATATTTATTTCACTGACAGGACGGTGGGATTCTAGAAGCACTTTTTAAGCAAAATAGATGTTTTTCAACTCAAATAAATTAATAAACTCCGGGATATTGTTGTTCTGTTAGCTTTTTATTTAGGAAAATTTCGCTATCAATAGAAACCAAGTGATGCTATGGTGGTGGTGTCCCTCTTTGCGGTAGACACTATTTTATCTTTATGCAATGGTAAATAATAGTTTACGTTTATCAGCGGTTTTAGTAAATTATCAAACTTAATTTTCTTTAAAAAGTCTAAATTTCCCGAGAAATGACTTATATGCTTCCTTAACATACCCGTGTAGAAAAATAAGCATTTTGGAAAAGGAAATCCCCTTAATTACTCTAATGATAAATAAAATAATACACATTACATTAAACAGATTATTTCTTTAATCTTTAGTCTCTCATTGTTAAAAATAGAAACAAGAGAAAACTTATGGTGGATTTTTGTCAATCTCTGTTTTAAAAAAAATAATATGGCCAATGTAGACCTCATCAAGGGTTGTATTTAAGAGTCAAAATCAGCAAGCATCGAGCATTGAATGGAAAGTCAAAATTTTATTTTTTCAAAAGCTTTTGGTATATGAAAGATTTTGTCTTACCTAATGCTAAAACACAATTAAAATTTTTTTCGAACGTATGAAGGGACTGCTATCCAAGGAAATTCATTTCCTTAGCAACGGGTTCATAAATCCTTATGAAAATCAATGATTTTTAGACATTTTTCTACGAATATGTTTTCTGAACGTGATAAGATAAGGTATTTTGGTTACTTTATTTGTTAAAAGATGGAATTACTTTATTCTCCAAAAATAGGAAAAACAAAATTTCTGTAGTGATATTGTTGCCATGACAACGGGAAAAGAACATGGCGTCAATGCTTATTAATTTTAAAAAAAGTTACATATGTTTATCACTTTATTCACAAAATCTACAACCACTGCTGGAAAAATGAATGGTATGATCTTGTTAGGGTTTATCTATATGTCATATCTATACAATAAAATTTGCAGGCAACTTTAGCAGAAAAAAGTTACAAATGGTTAAAATGAGTGAAAATCTGGCATTTATAAGCTTTTTTGAAGGGGTGGGGGTAATTTGAATACATGTTCAGTGTCCATTATATTGGCCATATTGGTTCCGATCAAAGCATACTCATAACTTTACTATTGTTAATAAATAAATGCACATTCAATTTCAAAAGGAATTTTATATTCCTCACAAACGAAACTTGGAAAGGGGGGGGGTAGGAATCACCTTGTTCACCGATCCATATGTACCGGGGTATGTAAAATTTTGACTTGTCCATAACATTTCAATGAAGTGCCACTGAAAGTTCATACTTGATATTAAGATTGCTTGCGATCGAGAGATGTGTCAAAAACTTGACTCAAGGTCATTTGAACAAGTTCAAGGTCATTGGTAGAAGAAAAGTGCAACCTTTGCCCATTCTGTAACATTCTAATGAAAAGACTTGGTTTCATCTTGGGAATTATTTTTAAGCTGTAGGTTTGTCATTACCTTGACCAAAATTCATTTGAACATGTTTGCCCTTGACTCAAGGACATAGCTTTTTCAAGGTCACTGCAGTAAAAGTGTACTATATGAGTTTGGCACATTTACATATTTAA